CAGACTGAAACTGGGATCGCTCCCCAACACAAAACCGGCAGACGTATGACCCTGCAAAGCTTTCAACAAATCCTGCTACAGAGTGCGCCCCCAAATTATCGGCCACCACACTGACCACTGTCCCTTTAATGGCTTTCCCTAACACTGGAACAAAAAGACCATCTTTCTCTAAGCTTTGGATATCTGTCAATAGTGGCTCTAAAACTCGCTGGAATCCAAACTGCTTGCTGTCTTCTGCCTTACACAGAATTGCAAGGTAGATCGATGTCAATGTGGAACGTAACTGCACTGGAATGTTTCCCAACACCCAATAGACAGCTGTGACTTTGTGCTTTTTTCTAGACGTACCAAGAGGATTACATACCTCAAAGTCATCAATGTACAGGATGAGGCTCACCCTATTCTCCTCTACAGAGAAAAACTCATTTTTTTGATAGTGAGATCCATCTCGAAATGTCTGGTACTTGAAGTTGTTTTCAGATTCATTTTCCCCTTCAAATGTGTTTTCTTGAAAAGACTTGCTTAAGACCTGCACCAAGGAGGACAATATTGGGACATACTGGAAGGTTTTGCCCTCTTTCTTATCAAGTATGTGTTCTTCTGGTTCAACAACTGAAAACATTTTCTTCATGAATTCTCTTCTCTTGTATGAAGTTGTGAAAGTGCCACCTGTGGCCAAAGCAGTACTAATAGGATGTGTCTCAATAATATTTTTTACTAAATCTGATATAATGGCTGAATCCAGATCACAGTTATGGCTTTTCAAGGTGGACACCACCACCTCTCTTAAAACTGGACCAGATGCAGAGGTGGATATAAACTGAAGCTCATCTACTAGTTCATCAATGCATTTGTTTGGGACATTGAACAAGCTTTCCAACTTTAAAAAGAGATGGCCAAATTTCTTCTTTATATCTTGAGACAACTCCTGTGGATCCTCATCCCACAGTTCTAAGCAGTTTTCCACACTGGTCTCATCCTTAGCGAGCATGGGTTCATCAGGTTGGCTTTTTAATACTTCTGTTTTAAAATCCTCATGGGTGTGTGACTGGTGTTTTCTGTGTCTATGTGTAGCAAAAGTGGAATAAATATTTGTACTGAAGTTGCAGTTTTTGAAGACACATGCCACTGCTTCAAATTTCTTTAAGTGGCTTCCAAGATGCAAAAAATACTGCTTCTCTGAATCAAAAAAACGAGAGCAGCAAAGTACGCAAATAAATGAAAGAGGTCCACCTTGTCCAACCATCTCCACATGGTGGTGAGACAAATGGACATGAAGGGCATTAAATGTTTTAAATGAGCAAGGGCAATTTGTGTGAAGACAAGGGACTGACTGGCTGTGACTATTTCCATGCTTTAGTCTGTAGTGTTTTAACAATCCCAACCTCTTCTCTGACTTAAAGCTACATATCTTACACAACCATCTCATGTTGTGGCACCTGAAACATACAAATTAAAAATCTGAAAGTGAACACAAAAGTAAAAAAACACATAGAAATTATGTGCCAAGTTAAACCTAATCATGATTAATTTGATCTTACCTTGACTCAGCCGTGGACTCCAAAAATGCAGTCAGAAGGTCCTATGTTCTGTTAAAAGAGTGATTATCTATATGCTTTGCACCTAATTTCTACAAACTCATGGATGTAGATTTATATTAAATTTTCTAAAATGTACATATCATATTAGAAATTATGTGTAGATGATTTTGGAAAGTTACCTGTATGGCCAAGTGTCTTTTAGTAGTCGAAAGTTGTGACGTCCTGTTCAAGTGTAAAAGGAAAACAGAAATATGAGAAGAAGCTGTGACTCATTTTACATAGTACTACTGTATGGTGTCATATTCAAACTCCAGAAACTTATACTTCATATTTTATAAGTGTATGACTAATAACAAAATCTGCTGGTTAAACTGGGGTAACTGCTGATGACATCATTTTTACACTAGAGTTTACAAAGGAAAAGTAAATGAAAGTAGTTAATATTACATTTAAATTAAATAAGCAAAAACTTTTCTCTAAATCAATGGTATAGACAAAAGAAATACATAGATATGTAACATAATGGCTGTGTCTCAATTCAGGGTCTGCATCCATCGTCGGCCGGTTACGTCACAGCGCCGCAACTAGGCCTGTCCCAATTCAATGACTCCTTCAAATGCGGCCGACTACCCCCAAATTCCACTACCTCCGCTCCGCTCCGGTCCGCACCCGCCTTCCGCAGCCGCTCGCTTCCGAACTCAATTTTTACTGGTACCCGCTCTACAACGGGATTTTGCGCGGGATTTTCGAGATCTTGCGATACAGTCCGAGCAATAAACGCGGAAGTTAGATCCAAACACCCGTTGTGTGGGAGAAGCATCGAAATGAACTGTTTAATCTGCCTATCATGTGTGTTGAGAGATCAGCAATGTTTGGATCAACAAAGTGTGACTACTTTGATAGTGGAAACTGTATTTATGGCTTAATTTTGTGCATTTAAACTTCAGCCGTGATTGATAGTGGTTAAAAGTTGTTAAATCTGTGCATATGAAACAAAAAACGCCTTTTGTTTATCGATTTATTGTGAAATACGGAAATTGTGCTTGCTCCTTTTCCTGTTGGGCCGTTGTGATTTCTGCCCATTTACTGCGGAGGTGCTCCGGTGTCCGGCAAAAATAGGATTGATTCTATTTTTGCCGGACGCCGGAACAGAGGGCGGCGCACGGCCGCAGTAGTGGAATAGCTCTGATTGACTAGAACGGGACCAATTTTGCTCCGGCGTTCGTGTCGGAGCGGAGCGCAGCGGAGCGGAGGTAGTGGAATTTGGGCCTTCTTTTCACCTGTATGAAGGATGGGTCCGGTGTACCCTTCAGTGGTTTACATTTCCCAAGATGCCTTGAAGGCTGGACGGCTGAACTTTTAAAAACAATGGCGGACGGTGAAGGGGGAGCTGTCGGAGGATTGCGCATATAAATGTCAGTAAAAACTTGAAAACTGTTAGGTTATGGGCTTTTTGTGACACATGAACGTTATTTTAGTTTGAAATGTTACAGTAGAAGTGCTTGTATTGCGGTCTCGGCTCGTATGTTCGGCCGCGCTCGGTGTCGTACTTCTCCCGCTACGTTTTCCCCCTGATTTTAATAGGAGTTTGTATTTTAGGGACATATGAGAAAACCAGGGACTTTATTAAGCTTAGGGCAGAGATGGACCACATGATCACCGGAGCAAAGTATTCGGCGGCTGTGGCATGGAGGTACAATAACATCTCATATTTTAAAAACTGTCGTTTGAGTTTAGTTTTTTCTGCGAAAACATGAAAGGAATAACCCGTTGTCCTCTTTTCTCTATCTTTTCTCTTCCTGTTTTTTTTCTTACATGCTTGTTAGGATTATTCTGGAGAAAATGGGCGTCCAGGGGAAGGTGACAGCGATGACCAGCTTCTGGAGCTGATCAGGGAGGACATGAGGCTGCAGAGGGAGGCAGAGCAGCAGAGGGCACAGGAGAGAAGGGAGAATTTGACAGGCTTGCTAGAAAAAATGGTTAACGATTAAACATGAACATATAAAAGAAATATCTAAATAAAATCAGTTCTGTATTAAACTCTTGAATTTTATTTTTGTTTACAAATGTGAATTATTTAAACAGGGTATCCACTGGGTCTTGAAACGTCTTAAAAGGTGATAAATCGGTTTTGGTCAAATTAAGACCCTTAGAAAGTATTAAAAACTATTATCACAGCGTTGCTCAGGCTCAGCTTGTCGAAAGTATTTTCTCCGAATTAGCTCTCCAGCAGTCAAGGAAATGATTAAAAGCTAAATAAAACTTCGAGCTCCATCGTTTAAAGTTCCTTCTCCCTTCTGCTCAGTGGTTCCACGGTTGCTAGGCGACGGAACATTCGCCGAGGGAGAGGCGGGAATTCATGAAGGCTAGGCCTGTCCAAATTCACAGCCGTTAACATCCGGTCTACCCGGCCGACGGAGAACGCAGCCCACGCCGGCCGAGTGGGCTGGGTCCTTCGAAGGATGCAGACAGCATATGTTTCTGACTATAACATGAATAAAATGGAGCTGCGGAGAGCAGCTTTTTATTTATTCAAATTAATGGTTATTACAGTGGTGCAAAACAGCAGCAATGATATGAAATTAGACCGTGGTCATTTTATTGTGTTAAACTCCAGTCCATTGGAACAGTTTCAACAACAGAACAAGTCAAATAACTTCCAACTTCAGTGAAATGTAACGGGTGGCGCAAAGTTAACAGACACCAGTGCACCAGCAGCTTGCAACTTTTTCTGTAAGATGCGTTTATAATTATTAAATGCACTCATTCTAGCAAGTATAATCTTAACCAAGTCTGGCTTTGATAAAACGCGAACTTTAATTAATGGGGCCTTTCCAGGCGAAAGGACACGTGTCAGCCAAGTTAGTTAGCTGTTAGCTTAGCTAGCTAGCTAGCAGGAAAAAGTACCATTTGCTACCGCAGCTGCTGCTGCTTTCAGTGAGGAGTCAGTGAGCCAACGAGGACGTATAGTTTGTTTCACTTACCGTCTTGGTTCCAATGTGCTAGTTCTTTCACGTCTCATTCAATGAATTCCCCCAACACGTCTGAAACTGAAACGTGGCATGTGGACGAACAGTTACTGTCTGAAGATGATGTGGGGGAGGGGGCTTTGACGTCATGCTCCGAATACAGAAGGTTGTAGGGTTCAATGATGTCTCTCTATTACATTTTACTTAGAAATGTCAACTGAGTAAGCCATCAAACGGATTAAGTGAATATTACTTGGATTGAAGGATTTCATTTACATACAAAAATGAGGAAACATAATTACAAACAATCACCAAGTAATGCACTACATGAAAAATAGCTATTTTAAAGTAAAAACAGTGAATTAATATTATTTAGTAGAATTTAGATAGATAGTTGAAATAATAATTACAGGGCCAAAAAATCATTTATTTCAGTGTGTGTATTTGTTATCGGCTCAGTCCTCTCGGTCTGCCTGGCAACCGCATTTGTTGCCTTTTTCAAACATGAAGTGGGAGTGGAGTAAGACTCTGGTAGGGGGTGACTTGCTCTTTAATGACCCCTTGGTTGTCCCACATAAAAAGCTGAGGAAGGTCAGTACTTTTCCTTTTTGCACCACTTTTTTGTATTTAGCAAGACTGTTAAATAAAAACAAACAAGCAGGCTGGTTGCCTGGCAACAGTCAGCATGTGACCTGCATTGTTTTCCTAGTTTCCATGGTATTATAGTTATGATCTGTTGGGGGAGATGATTTGCCCTTTGATCTGATGACATCATAAAGCATTTGCATAACGCTCCTCATTTGCATAACACTCATTTCCATAACACTGACACAGACCAAGCTTAACTAGTGAGACCAGACCTATGCAGTGTGACAGATCAGCTGATTTCAAAATGCCTCAGGAAACAACTTCTGTTAAGCCATACCAGGTAAAAGAGGGAACTCTTTTAAAGTTTGTTTTTAACCAATCACAAGAAATTGATGATCTTAAAGTGAATGCACGTAAAAAGGAGATTCAATTCAAAAACCTCGAAAAACAATTTGAAGAAGCACAAAGTCAATATTCTGATGTCCAACAGCAGTTGGAGTCAGAATTAAAGAAAAAAGATGACGAATTTCAGACACTCCATCAAGAATTTGTGAAACTTCAAGAAAAGCTTGCTATTGAGAGAAAGAAACAAACTCATTTCAAGCAACTGATTACCCAAATTAATAAAGACAGCATTTTAGTCAAAAATAAGTTGGAGAACTGCTCAAACATAACAGATCAGCTTTTAGCATGCCATGAAAAAATTGAAGAGCTTGAAGATTTTCTGGCCTATGAACGGGAACAGAATGACAAGTTGAAGGATTGTTTATATAAGCAAGAGGTGGAGAGCCATAGTTTAGAAGAGAGAAACATGGATAGCTTACAGCAGGAAGAAGAGATTAAAGATGATGTTATAGCCAAAATCTGTGTAAAATATGGGATTAATAAAAGCCTCAGGGCAGATTTAAAATCTACTGAAAAATTATTAGTAAAGGAAAAAGCTAAGAACAGAAAACAGCAAATTGAGATTGATAATCTGAGAAAGCAACTTCAAGATTCCCAAGTTCAACGAGAAGCTTTTGACGACCAAATCAAATCTCTGCAGACACAGAAAGATAATGAAATTTCTGGCTTGATGAAAACTATCCAAGAATGTAAGAACCAGGAAAGTGAGCTAAAGGATAACATGAGAAGATCTGGAATCCAAACAAACAGTATTAGAAAACTGTTTTTCGAAGCTAATGATTCAGTTGTGGACTTACAGAAGGAAATTAAGGAACTGAAAGACTCCAATGTGAAGTTAGTTAAGGAGAAGTGTGAGACAACGTTAGAGCTGGAGAAACTGAAAGACTCCAATGTGAAGTTAGTTAAGGAGAAGCGTGAGACAACGTTAGAGCTGGAGAAACTGAAAGACTCCAATGTGAAGTTAGTTAAGGAGAAGCGTGAGACAACGTTAGAGCTGGAGAAACTGAAAGACTCCAATGTGAAGTTAGTTAAGGAGAAGCGTGAGACAACGTTAGAGCTGGAGAAACTGAATTACTCCAATGTGAAGTTAGTTAAGGAGAAGCGTGAGACAACGTTAGAGCTGGAGAAACTGAAAGACTCCAATGTGAAGTTAGTTAAGGAGAAGCGTGAGACAACGTTAGAGCTGGAGACGGTGAAAGGTCAGCTGCTCCTAGCTTCTGAAGATAAAAATCAAGACGCAGAACAGTTGATAAAGGTAGCAGCTGAGAAGGTAATGTTTGCCAGCGAGCTGAAGGACTGTAAAACCCAGATGGCAAGACTAAAGGAAGTACAACTCATAAACATTAGAGAGTTAGAAAACAAAATAACACAACTTGAGGAGAAAAACAACAGGCTCATTGAGGAGAATAAGGCAAGTCAGAAATTATCTGAAAAGAGGCCTAGCGACCGTAGTTTAAAGAGTAGGGAATTTATCATTTACAGACATTTAGAACCTGAGAAAATTAACCCTAGAAAGACTAATTTTCTGCCCTCAGTGTTACCACAACACAAAATCAGCACCTTAAACCAAAAGCAGGACAAAAATAAGACGTATGACTCAGTTATGCCACAAGAAATGAATAAAATTAAACCGGTAAAGAGCCTTGGCAAGCCAAAGTGGAGATAACGACCTAATGAAAGTTAAGACTTTTGAATCCTAGCTTAAAGCCGTCTACGCGTTCTGTTCCATGGCGAAATCGAAACTTCCGTCGTTTTGTTTGGCTGTGTCAGGTTGGAGGGAATTAAGGTTATTTAAGCGGTTCAGAGTTAATAAAGTGGTAGATATGATGTTTCACAAGGTGCTGCTAGAGTTTTGTGAAATATTACTTCTGATTTTACTATAAAACATAATAATAATCAACTTCTCCATGTTTGCTCGGAGATGTGCGGAGCATTATGTCCGCTCATTGGTCAGTGAATGAAACCTCCGTTGATTGGTCCTCGTCCGAGCGACAGCGATGAAAAGTTGAAAATGTTTCAACTTTCTGGGATCGCGTCGCTGGGTCGTCCGTGCATGGCACGTGCACGAGTGCAAAATTTCACACGCACGTTTTTCGCGTTTCGCTTAGTAGGAGGGAGACCCGCGATTATCGCTTTATCGCGCATGTCTCATTGAAAATGAATGGAGGACAGGCGATGTCGCCTACCGTGTGTCGAGCCCATTAGAGTTATGTACTAAGCATACTAGTCAAGTCAATATTTATTTATATTGCACATTTAAAAGGCAACACTGTTACCCCAAAGTGCTGCACAGCCGTTATAGTAGTAGAAACATAAAGTAGAAACTTAAAAGCCAGCGAGGCATGATAACAAATTTAAACCACAGGAAACTGAAACAGAATACATAGCACATCATAGAACATCAACGATAAATCGTAGGTTAAAATGTATAAAATAAGAGCTGTAAGAGAAACCTGCAGCCACGTAAGCAAGCTGTCCCACAGGGTAGAAGCCACATCAGAGAAAGCTCCAGCAGCCTTGGCTTTGAGTCTAGATCTGCGTGTAGCTAGCAGATGGAGACCAGCTGATCTTAGCGCCCTGGATGGGACATACGGCTGAATAAGGTTGCTCAAGTCTGCATCATGCAGTCTATATATCATACAAAAATGTCTCTGCTAATTATCTGCACAGACATGTCCCATCTCAGTCCGTTTGTTCAGCTGAGCGGGAGCCGTTGGTGGCCCCCGCTCCAAATATGGATTTTTTTTAATTTAATTTTTGTATTTATCTCAAACCATCGAAAACATGAAATTGCATATGCACTCCCCCATATTCCTGGTGCATACAATTTTTTTTTTTTAAAATGAGGAATACGATAAACATGCTGTTGAATGAAACAATACAAAACATACAATAACATAAAACCATTTGAGAGGGAACTGGAAGAAGCAAAAGCTTATCTAGTCCAGCCCCAATTCAGCTAATAAATCACATTTGCTCACATTAACAAATTTGAAAGAAAAAAAAACTTTTCTTTATGCAGGTCGTTCTATCTTCACCTTGCTACATAAAAAGACAGTTACAAAACAATTGTTCACATGAATCTACAGAAAAAGAAAACAAAACCAATAAACAACAAAAACAAAATATTCCATTTGAAGCCAATTACCATTTTTATCACTTGCTATTTATGTATGAGTCAATTATAAGTTGTTTATACAACATTTTAAATGATCTAATGTTTTTACATAATTTTAAAGTCACATCAAGTTTGTTCCACAGTTTGATACCACATACAGATACACACATACTTTTCATAGTTGTTCGGTATAATGGAAAAATGAAGTTTTTAACGCCTCTCAATTCATAACCCTCTTCATGAGTTTTAAACATCCTTTGCAAATTAAACGGCAGTACACCCATCATGGCCCTATACGGTACAAGGACAGTTTTAAATTGAATTAAGTCAAAAAATTTGAGTAATCTGGAATTATAGAATAATGGAGTTGTATGATCTCTATATCCAGAATTTGTAATTATCCTTACCACTCTTTTTTGGAGAACACAAATCTTTAATAAATTAGATTCATAAGTATTGCCCCATACTTCGACACAATATGATAAGTATGGTAGAATCATAGTATAATAAAGTGTGTGTAGTGCTTTCTGTGGTAGAGAATATCTTGTTTTATTTATTATCCCAATGCTTCTAGCTAATTTAGAACACACATATTGTATGTATGGCTTCCAACAGAGCTTATGATCAATCAATATCCCCAAAAACTTAATTTAAGGTTGGATCGTGTGTTATTGGTTCTGGCTCCAACGCTCTGGAACAAGTTACCTCTGAGTGCCAGGCAGGCAGTAATCCCAGATTACTAGGTAAAAAGGATTTCATCTTTAATAGTTAGATCTATTTCTGGTCAGCCTTTTATTAAGGGAACTAACAGGCCAAGCCGGCAGGTTCTTTGTTGTTATTCACTGGAGGATTCAATCTATTTAATATTATTATTTTGCAGAATAATGCTCGAATGGCAGCGTGCACCTCCACAAATTATACATTAAAACAAGTGGCTTGGCCGAGGGGGATGTGCTAATACTTTTCTAAGTGTTTCGATTTACGACGGTGACGTTACTGCCAAAAACATTGCATCTTTCTTTCTTTCTGTTGGGTAATTTCTAATATTGTTCTTATATTACCTCAAAGAAAGTCGGAGCCCACACAGAGGGATTAGTTTCATAATTTGGTAAATTGTAAACAACCTTTAAACAGACAACAAACTCTGCAAAGTGTGACACTTTGCAGAGGGTGAGAGAATCAAACATCAGACACGACGGCCATTTCCTCTCACACCGAGCCAAAGCTTGTGAAGAGCTTTTATTGAACATACACACACCCACAGATTCCACAACCACCCTCCTTGGCCTCAGAAAACAAATAGCGTGAAACTCCCCGTCCGACTAGTTTGGCTTCAACTAATGGAACAAAACACATCGAGCAGAAAGGAGGTGCTGAAAACAATCAAACATTAACAAGTATCTGTTCCATTTATCCGTTTTCTCAAGCAGTAAGGGTGAGTGAACTCTGTTTGATAACTAGTTCAGGGTTTTTCCTAACACTTTCTTTTATTTATTATCCTGATCTTAGGTTAGACCTCCACCCACCGCTGTGACTGTGTCACGTTGTGGGTTAGGAGGAGGTTAGGACCCAAGATGCAGATGACACCAGATGACATGAGGCAGGAGCGGTTTAAAAGTAAAATCCTTTTTATTTAGGATGAGGAACCAAAAAATCCAAATGGGCAGGAAGCCTAAAACCTAAGTCCTGAGTACCAGGAGAACGAAAGCTCACACAGAGCACAAAACCTAGAGGCGAGGTACAAAAGCTCACATAGAGCACAAAACAACGCTGACACAAAACAATGGACCGACAAGATACTGTGACAAAGACAGGGCTTATACACTGGGGCATGATGGGAGGCAGATGGGCTGCAGATGTGTGGAGAGAGAACCAGGTGAAAGCAATTAACTAATCAGGGAAGAACATGATCTAAGAGTAAAACCTAAAGACAAGAAAAGCAACCACATAACTAATATTCCAAGGGGAAGGAAAACTACAAACACCAGTGGGAAAAAAACATACTAAAGAGACTAATAAAATGAAAAGCTGAAACTATAAAAAACTGCAGAGGGGTGACTGGGGATGACTAAAGGAACACAGGACCTGGGAGAGATGATCTGGAGGGCTGAAGACACATGAGGAACACAAAGAGACACATAAGGGGGATTCTTAGAGGGGAATGGAGTACACAAGGAGACACATGAGGGAGACGCAGACCATGACAGACGGACGTCGGAGGAACGCTACCCACCCCTCCGCCCGCCCTCACAGACACCGGAGGAACACGTTACTTTATATACAGATTGAGAGTCTTCTGATTGAGCTACAATGTAGCCACAGCTGCTCTGGGGCACCCTGACAGAGGCAAGATCTGATGAACGCTGGCGTCACCGGTCCCTCTGATCACCACCAGCAGGTAGGGTGGCTTAAGTGTCTTGCCCAAGGGCAATTCTCTGGTCGGAGCCGAGATCAAACCTGCAACCTTCTGATTACTGGACAACCTGCCCTCCTGAGCTACTGCTGTCCCTGTCCTAGGTGTCCTCAGGGGCATGTTCTACCTGCTTTACAGCTGTTAGCTAGCTAACATGCAGCACTTTCAGTTCACCGATCATCAACAAAAACCACAAGAAGAAGAGAAGAAGTTTGCGTTTTGTGTTGTGAGCCTGGAAGTAAAAGTAAGAGAGTAATGTCTTTGGAAGTGAAGCAGAGAGCTAAAACCAGAGTCTTCCTCTTCATGAGCAGAAAACATTTTGTAACCTGTCAATAAAAGTACCTGATTGGTTAATGCAGATAAGACATGATTTAACACACTTGTGTGGAGGCCATTAGCACTTCTGAGGTCTGCTAAGAATACGTGTTTGTGCAAAGTAACGTAGAGTATGCTTGTGAAAACCTGTGTGTGTGTGTGTGTGTGTGTGTGTGTGTGTGTGTGTGTGTGTGTGTGTGTGTGTGCTCGAATGGATGAATGATACACTGTGTGAAGCACTTTGGAGTGCTCTGACTCTGAAAGACGTTATGCAATTGCAGGTTATTTATCATCTGTCAATTTTCTGGGGCTGCATGGCGACACAGTTGTTAACGCTGTTGCCTCGCAGCAAGAAGGTTGCAGGTTTGAAACTTGGCTGCGATCTATCTGCAAGGAGTTGCATGCTCTCCCCGTGCATGAGTGGGTTTACTCCAGGTACTCCGGTTCCCCCACAGATCACAACATGCCCTATAGGTTACCAATTGTATGTCACTTTGAATAAAAGTATCTGCCAAAGAAATAAATGCAAACATAAGTTTCTGTTTTAAAATCATTAAGGGAAAGCAGTTCGAAGATGTTCTCTCCAACTGTACAACACAAGGAAAGAAAGTCTACAGTATATGTTGAGGGAAATCATCTGCTGCTACTTTTACAACTAATGCACCAATGTTCAAAAAGCTTTAGACTGCTAAGACCTTTGAACTGTGGTGCCATCAGATTTACTCATGGTTTGTTTGTTGAATTCATTTTCCGTTGTAAGCGGAGGTTATGATGCAAATAAATACATTCTTATATACGAGGCTGTTTGGTTTAATGAGTCCAACTGTCATGTCATTATCCTGAAAGCAAACTGAGAAATCACTTTTGAAAATATTTTACAACAGGAGCCCTGAGCATTGCACATGCTTAACCTATTTATAATAAACAACAAAAAACAAAACAAAACCATTATTAGATTTGAAGGTCATTGACGTGACGTCATCTTTATGCGTGCAAACTCAAAAACACTGCAAACCTAATGCTGGATGCATTATGCTTTTATCCCGCAGGCAATAATTAGCCTGTTAAAAATGTGTTCATTTACAATAGGGTAGGTCCAGAATTCCTATTCCCAAACCTTCCAGGAAAAAGTCTGCTAGTGGGTTTTTGTG